TTCAAGAACAACAGAGGAGAAAATGAAGAAGAAGGAAGGGAACCCCTCCTTGGCCCCTTCCCCTTCAGCAGCCGGATTCCCATCTCTCAGGTCTTCCCACCCTTGGCCTGGCTGGGCCACACTTGGCTGAGAAGCTAAAGTGGAGGAGGCCGGTCAGAGAGACATCAGGTCTGTGTTGGTGACTTGTCTCTTGCATGAGTTCACTTAATGACCAATTTCATGGGAAATCCTCTCTTCTCCATCTCCACCCTCAGTATGGGTGACTGGGGCTGACCCAAACTAGAAAAAGGACAGAGGGACCCCAATTAAGTAATAGCTGGAGACAGCGCCAGGTAGGAGTGGATGGTCTCTTACCTAGGGTGGTATGGAGAGGACTCAGTCTTCCTACAGGAGAGCAAGGAACAGAACTCCAGACCAGCCAGAGAGACACTCAGATCTTTCTAAAGTGTTTACTTGAGACTTATCTTCAGAGAGCTGAGATTACAGTAAGTAAAACCAAAGTGGCCAGGCACACAGACTCATGCCTGTAATCCCAGCACTTTGGGAGGCTGAGGCAGGTGGATCACCTGAGGTCAGGAGTTCGAGACCAGCCTGGACAACATGGTAAAATCCAGTCTCTACTAAAAATACAAAAATTAAGCTGGGCACAGTGGCTCGAGCCTGTAATCCCAGCACTTTGGGAGGCTGAGGTGGTCAGATCACCTGAGGTAGGGAGTTCGAGACCAGCCTGACCGACATGGAGAAACCCCATGGAGAAACTCTACTAAAAATACCAAATTAGCCGGGTGTGGTGGCTCATGCCTGTAATCCCAGCTACTTGAGAGGCTGAGGCAGGAGAATCACTTGAACCTGGGAGGTGGAGGTTGCGGTGAGCCGAGATCATTCCATTTCACTCCAGCCTGGGCAACAAGAGCAGAACTCCGTCTCAAAAAACAAAACAAACAAACAAAAAAACAAATTAGCTGGATATGGTGGCACACAACTGTAGTCCCAGCTGCTCAGGAGGCTGAGGTAGAAGAGTCGCTTGAACCCAGGAGGTGGAGGTTGCAGTGAGCCGAGATTGTGCCATTGCCCTCCAGCCTGGGTGACAGAGCAAGACTTTGTCTCAAAAAAAAAACCAAAAAAAACTAAAAACAAAAAATAAGAATAATCAAAGTAAGGCAACAAGAGATGGATAAAAGACTACAAATAGGGTACAGTGTACACTGCTTGGGTGACGGGTGTACCAAAATCTCACAAATTACCACTAAAGAACTTACTCATGTAACCAAACACCACCTGTTCCCCAATAACCTATGGGAATAAAAATGATAAAAACTACTTAATGCCAGATACATGCTGAGAAAATTAAACTGAAATAATTTGTTTCACTTAAAAATAAAACAAAACAAAAAAACAAAGTAAGGGCAACAAGAGAAGCTCAGGCTGAGGCTGGCAGGGAGCAGAGACTGGGCACCCAGACCTCTCAGAATCACCTCTGGTGCTTTTGTTATCAGAGCCAGCTTTGTGGATGGTCGCCTGGAGGCAGGCGCATGGCTGAGGTGGCACCGCTGGGCCTGGGATACTTCATCTGGACAGTCAGCCTTGGGGTATGGGGGGACCAAGGCGGGAGTACTCTCCTGGGAGGCCCCGTGTCTGGGAGGCAGCACTGCTGTCACCACCCCGACTGCTCTTCTGGCTGCCTGGGTGACTCAGGACCTGCCAGCAGGCCCGAATGTGCTGGGACAAGTCTCAGCCTCCCCTCCTTCCCCACATGCCTCCCCGTGGCCTAGCGGGGACTAAGCTTCCCCCTTCCATCTGCATCTGGAGGTTGGCTGCAAGCTGTCAGGCCCGTGGGCCACTGCTGGTTGCTTCCCCAAGCCCTGCCCAGCTCTGTCCCTGGGCAGATCAGAGCCCTCCCTGGGGCCCCAGATGACTGGCAGCATTCTAACAGGTCATTCCCCTAGGGTGAGATCCTGGGGTGCCGTGGGGCAGGCGCTCATACTTGACACCTACGAGCCTCACTGGTGTCCTAACAGTTGGGCAGCACGGATATGATTATCCCCATGTTTCAGTTGGAGAAACTGAGAGCCACAACCTCCACAGTCTCAACTCAAAAGCAGGCCTCTTGATTCCTGCTCTCCTTCCTAGACCCCACACCCAGGACCACGGGCTGGAGGCGGGAGGGAACCACAGACTGATACACTTGTGGAGTTGGGGTGGAGGCAGCCATCTTGGGTCAAATAGGCCGAATCCAGTCCTCTCTCAAGCTGGGGCTTGGCCTCTTGGGACTGGACCAGCTTTGTCTACCAGACCGAGGGAGGGGAGAGGTTGCTGGGAATAAGCAGGTTCTGGGTTCCCAGGGAAGAGGAACCCTGAGGACCTCTATTAGGCCTTCCAGTGTCAGAGGCTGAGGCTCACTTAGCCACCCTTGGTCTTGTATGTTCCTGTGGGGTCGGCTTTAGACTTCTCTGAACAGTTCTCCTGCACCTTAACATCTCACAGGGTCAGGAATGAGGAACAGTAATAAATCTCGGGTTAATCCATTATGTTCTAGGCCTTGTGCTTAAGTTTTGATCTGCAGAATGTCAAGTCTCCTGCACTCAAGCCTGTGAACCACTTTCATGTCACCTCCATTCCTCCTGGAAGATGAGGATATTGGGCTGAGAACAGCTGGAACCCTGTCCAAGGTGAGTAGCAGCAGTAGGGTTTGAGCCTAGGTCTGCTGGCTCTTTAATATTGGGATCCAGACTTGACTTAAGGGCCCTGGCTTTGAAGGGGAAATTGAGCCTGCCACGAAGATCCCTCCAGGTGCCCTGGCTACAGCTCCCCTCCTCTCCCACCCTGTGGCCCCAAATCTTTCCTCCTCCCTTCCCTCCCTCCATAGCTCAGAACCATTCCAGAGTAACCTGGGCTGGCAAGGGTTAAGTCACCTCCTGCTGGCCTGTGCTGTCTGCCTGCTTTGCTGTTTGCCAGCGCTGCACCTGTTGTAGCCCTACAGTTTTGATGAGGTTGGCAGGGAGTGCCAACTCGTACGGGCATGGTAAACATGCCACCTGCCTGCTCAGTGCTGCCAGAGCAGTAATGTGCCAATTCCAGCACGAATTCTTAGCTACTCCCTCCCTAGTGGACCCAGGCTGAGGGGGGCATACCAGCTTGGCTGAGACCTCCAGACCCTCAGGTGAGGGGCTGGGGCCTGCATGACAGATGCTCTGGAAAGGACCTGCCTGTTGGCCCTGCATTCTGAAGGAGAATGGTCCCCAACAGAGGAGGCAATCCCAGTGAAGGAGGCCAGGTTGAAGTGGGGACAATGTACTCCTTTCCTCTTCTTTATTTAAAATTGAGACCAGAGTCTCACTCCTGGCACCCAGGCGGAGGTGCAATGGCACACCTTTTGCCCACTGCAACCTCGCCCCAGGTTCAAAATATCTCCTGCCTCAGCCTCCCCAATACTGCGATATAAGGCAATCCACCATCGCCAGCTTAATTTGTATTTTTAGTAGAGAGTGGTCACCATGTTTGTCACGGCTGGTCTCCAATCCTTGACCCTCACGTGACCACCCACCCTCGGCCCCAAGGCTGGAAATACAGGGTGAACCCACCATGCTGGGCCCCCAACTCCTTTTCCAAAGGGCCGAGGGGGGAGGCTCAAACACAAACAAGGAAGCATCAGTGACCCATCAGTGTTCCGAATGGGCAGGGCCTATAGACCACGTTCATGATAAAGGCAAACCCAGCTGGGTGTTCTGTCCTTTTTGCAGATTGAACCTATTAGCCCTGGGCTGGGTCTTTTCCCCCCCACCTCCTCTGTTCCTGTCCCAGTCTCAGGATCACAGAGCATGCCCGCCACCTTCCTCCCTTTTTCCTCCTCCCTTTCAGTTGGGCTGCATTGGTTGCGGACATTTAATCAGGGCAAGGAACCCCTGACTTGGGAGGAATGTGGAAATGTCTTGCAAGACTGGGGAAGTCCCACCCCCACCCTGGAGCCCAGGAATGTGGGCCTAGGCCACCTCCTGCCAGCCCTCAGGGCAGGTTGAAGTGCCATGGTCCAGAATGACCCTGTTGGAAGACACTGGCAAGGTCACCCAATGAAACGCCCTACATTAGTACCAGAGGGTGAGGATGAGCCACCATGCCACCCCCGTGCACCCAGCACAGCCTTTCTCTCAACATCGTGAGTGGCACTGTCCCTGACCTTGTTGTCTCCTCAAAGCGGAGGCCAACAAGTACCACGCACTTTGATTTGCTCAGACCCAGAACTGCAGAAAGTCCAAGCCCTTCGAAGTGAGCCTGCCCCACATCCTCGAACTGATGGGACGACTGAGTGCAGACCGGAATTGTGAGTTGGGCTGCCATCACTCACTATGGGCCAGGACCCAGGCTCTGGCATGGATGCAAATTTCCACCCCACCATCCTCCCTGTTCCTGAAATGCTGGAAGTAGCATCATCCCTCTCCATCCCAAGCAGGAGATTCAGGTGAGCCTCTCCAAACTCCCACAGGATTACTGCTGGAGTACAGTGCCTTCTGGGGTGCACATCTGTTGTGAACGCCGGGGGTGGGCGCTGCAGCACAGAGGGCCTGGTCCCCTACACTCAGCACGCTCCAGCACCTGGAGAGCAGGTGCTCTGTGCTCTGGCTGACTGCTGAGAAAACCAAGCTAACTCCAGCAGCTGCCTTCTTTGGGGCTGCACCGGGAGAAAGGGTTAGAGTAAGGACTCTGCTGCCCTCTCGTGGCCCTACTTGGGCATTGCTGCTTGTCATTCAGGCTGCTGGCAGCTCAACTGCTCTGAGCTATGGAAATCTCTCTCCTAATTGCCCTGCCTCCAAAAGGCCTGGATGGGGTGTATATCATTCCTCCTATCACACCACTTAGGCCATGCCTTGTTCCTTGTTGGATCCTGGAGGAAGAGGGCCTCAGGTCAACAGATGATGCCCAGCCTGTTACCCAGAATGCTTGGGTGTGGGGAGACACCTGGTGGTTCCCACAGACACAACCTAATCAACCAACACCAGACAGGATGGTTTGAAAATTTAGAGGATATTTATTTCTCAGGAAGGTGCACAACAGCTGGCAGGCACTGCTTTCCCTGCTCTAGGGGATTCCTCTCTCCTTTTCCAAGAAATCCCCTCTCTTCTTGGAAGTGCCCATGGGAGGCTGGGATGTGAAAAGAAACCATACACAACACTCCAGAGCCTTAAAAAAATAAAGCAACGACCTCCTCCACATGAATACACACTTACAAAATAAATAGACAGATAAGAGAGGCCACGCGCCTCCCATCCCGGCTGTAGGGCTGCTTGGGGAGAGAAGGGCTGGGTGGCTCCGTCCCACTTCTCCCAGCCAGGATGATCCAGAGGCTAAATGGAATGGAAGGGCCCTGGCCTCAGAGAGAGGACGGGGTAGGACCTCTCCCGGTGCTCAGCAGGGAAGACGCTGGGAGCATGGGTAGGGAACAAAAGAACAAATAAATAAATAAATAAATAGAACCCAACAGCACTCCCAGAGGCCTAAGGGCTTAGGGTGAGGCTCAGGGGGGCCCTGGGGCCTGTTTCCCTGAAAATAGCAGATCCAGTACAGGCAGAAAGGACAGCAGGGAAAACACAAGCCACACCCACCTGGCCTGCAGAGCCCAGCCCCAGAAGGAGGCCACAAATCAGCTCTACAGGGAGGAGGGGTGGGGTGGGGGATGCTGAGCTCCACACTAGCTGCTCTGAGCCTGCTCTCTGGCCCTAGAGGTGCCCGAAGGCTAGGGACCCTCCCATCCCTGTGTTCTCTGAGGCCAGCAGAGCCTCCTCCCTCACTCTCCAGCCTTCATCCTCACCATCTCCACCAGAGGAAACCGTAGCTATCTCTGAGGTGGGCTCTTTCCTAGGAAAGTTGAGGCAGAGCCCTCTCCTCTTATTCTTAATGGCCTTCCTGACCCGGGGCATCCTGAGGGTCAGCTGGGAGAAGTCAAAACAATCCAATCCCGTGTCCACCTCTGCTCCACTTGGCCACAGGTGCCCCCACTACATCCAGCCAGGGCTGCATTCTAAGCTCCCTTCAGGCCAACAGGGAGAAGGTGTCAGACAGAAGCAAGTACAGAGAAGGGGGCAGGAGCTGCTGGAATGGACAGTTTGGGCAGGAGGCCAAACTGGACACATGAAGAAGTCCAAGGGTCCCTCCTGGAGCAGAGTGGCCAGCTGGGGGCCGGAGAGCACAGGGTCGGCATGGCTGGCCACTCAGCTGGGCAGCAACACGTGCTCCAGGAGGTAGGTGAGGGAGTCCCAGTGCTTCCAGAGGAGGAACAGGACAAGGACCAGGAGGGCAGTGCTGGTGATGCGCAGGCGTGTCTTCATGAGGGGCGTGATGAAGTTGGCGACGGTGGACACGAACACCAGCAGCACGGCCATGAGCGCCAGGATCACGTTGATGAACTTGCCCAGCAGCGCCCGCGCGTTGGCGTTCTCCACGCCCTCCAGCTGCACCACCTGCTGCTGTTGCTGTTGCAGCTCCAGCTTAGTGACCCGGGTCAGGCAGGACTCCACGGCCTCCTGTGGGGGCAGAGGGGCTGGCATGTGGGCGCTCAGGTTGGGCAGGACCCCTAGCCTGAAAACCTACCTACCCCACTGGGAAGGTGCCTATAACGAAGCCTCCTCTCCAAAGGCCAGGAGGAGTGGAGGTTGACTAGCTGTAACTCGGGTCAGAGCCCTTTAAGGATGACTCTTTGGGGAGGATGCTAGGAAATGAGAGTCTTGATTACTAGGGATGGAGAGGAGCTGGCCCAATCCCAGCTAGCTCCCTCTTGAGGCAGGCTGGAGGCTGGGAACTCCAATTACTCATTTGCAAGGCTGCCATCAAAGAGGTAGGGGCCTGGCGGCCCTTGCCCTGTGGGCTTGCCTCTGCGCAGTGCATGCTCTCAGCTTCAGGCCTGTCTTGCTCATCTACACTTGGCCCCCGCTATGCTGCCCTCTTTGTCCACGTGCCTATCTGCCCCAGCCAACAGGCCAGCCTGTGTCTATCATGCCCCACGAGACAAGAATCCTAAACCTCTGGCTGCTGCCAGCTCTCCCAGCACATGTGGGGCCTCCCACGGTTGCCCTGGCCATACCTGGATGTCCCGCGCCCTCTCATAGGACTGGTAGGCCACCTTCTCCTCCATACTGGCCAACTCCTGCTTCAGGTTCGTCATCTCATTCTGGTGAAGCTCAGTCAGGTCGTTGAGCTGCTCCTCCAGCCGCTCATACCTGGCGGAGGGAGAGAGAGTGACACCAGTCCTGGCTCCCCGAGCCTCCCTTCTCTCCCATGGTTGATTCATTCATTCTCTCAATAAACAATGACTCAGCCCACCCCACGTGTCCAGCTCTGCTCTATTCTAATTTTAACAGCAACAACAATGAAGCTACTCTTTACACAGCACTTAGGTGCAGGCACTGTGCTAAGCGTCTTACCTACATGACCTCAAAGGATCCTCCCCGCAATCCCGTGAAATAGGTGCCAGTGTCATCTCCATTTTACAGAGGAGAAGACTGAGGCGTGGAGGCTGAGGAGCTGCCTAGGATCACACAGCTCATGAAGGGAGGAGTTAAGGATTGGCTGACTTCAACCTGGGCTCTTAAGCCCTGGGCTCAGATGCTCTCTGGGTACCAGGGACACATGGGTGTGGAGGACACAATCCCCACTCTGAAGGCACAAAATAGTGTAAGATGAATATTATGTGAGGAGTGGATAGTTTTTAGGTGGGGCTCCCCTTCAATCTTCCAAACCTTCTTCGTATATACGGAGAAGAAAAAGGGAAAGTGCTAGCTAAGGAGACGATCCCTCCGTGAGCCCAGGGAGCCAGCGGCAAGTACTGCAGAGGCACACAGCAAAGGGCGGCAAAGGGCAGCACAGGGCCGAAGGGAGACACAGAAGGAGAGGCCGAGAGACGCCAGCTCCATTGCAGGCTGGCCCCAGGAGCTCCGACTGGAGGTTCAAGTTTCCCAAGTTACAAAGTCACATGCTTCAACTTTACAGGTCTGGACTCATTATATCTTTACGACCCTATGAAGAAGGCATTAATGTCATCCCTGACTTGAGGTCAGGAGATCGAGACCAGCCTGACCAACATGGTGAAACCCTGTCTCTACTAAAAATACAAAAAAATTAGCCGGGTGTGATGGTGCGGGCCTGTAATCCCAGCTACTCAGGAGGCTGAGGCAGGAGAATTGCTTGAACCCAGGAGGCGGAGGTTACAGTGAGCTGAGATCGTGCCACTGCACTCCAGCCTGGGCAACAGACAGACTCTGTCTCCAAAAAAAAAAAAGAAGAAAAAAAAGAAGTCTCCTTAGGGCCTCATGCTGGCCCCTTCCAGCCGCCAGGAAACTGCAGATGCTCCTCTGACTGCCTCCACACCCTGGGTCTGAAACCCAGTGCTCCTTGCCTCATCCCAGGTCCGGCTGGACTGCAGGAGGGGCTGGCTGGGCAGGCACCTACCTGTAGCGCTCCTCCTGCAGGCACTGGGTCATGTAGGTGTAGTCCCTCTGCAGCTGAGTCTTCAGGTCTTCCATGGAGTCCTCCAGGTGAGACTGTCCCTCCTTGATCTCCCGTAGCTCTTCCAGCAGAGCATCCAGGTTTCCAGCAGCACCATACAGTGCACTGGACTTAGGGCTCCCCAGTGCTCCGCTGGGCCCAGCCCCCGAGTTGCTGCCTGCCCCGGCTGAGCTGGCGCTGGCACTGGAGCACTCGTCATCGCTGCCATACTTGGGGCTGGAGACGAGTGTGGCACTGCCGCTCAGTGCCCGGGCTGCCTCCTCGGGAGGCCCATCTTCCAGGGGGTCCTTCAGGTGAGCGATGTTGTCAGCACTGCCAAACTTGTTGCGGATGAGGCTGGCAAACTCCCGGGGCTTGGATACCACGGCGGTGTGGGTGGCCTGTGAGAGACCGGAGAGGCTGCCCTTGACGCCCTCCACCACGCCACCCCCAAAGCCACTGATGCCTGCACGCACGTTGGCGCCCACGTCCTTCAGCCCCTGCTGCATGTCCCGCAGCACGTCCTTGGGCTGCCGCGAGGGCCCGTTCTGCTCAATCTCCTTCAGGCGCCGGCGGTAGTGCTCCAGCTTCTTGTGCAGCTGGGCGATGGTCTGGGCTGACTTCTGGTTCTTCTTCTCGAACACCTGCTTGATGCGCGACACCTGCTGCTTGTCTGCGTTGTTGGCCAGTTTCAGGTACTCTGCCACGTTGTCGTCGCGAGCCTCCTGCTCGATCTTGATCTGCTCGGTGATCTTCAGGATCTTCTGGTGCAGGTGGTCAATGGCGGCCTTGGTCCGCTGGGGGTCCGGTGCCCCGTCGGGCACATCCAGGCTGATGGGGCCGTCAGTGTCACCATGGCCGGCGGGGAGGCTCAGGGCCACCAAGTCTCCCTTGTCGACCTGCGGAAAGAGGCAGGCAGAGGAAGCATGGGTAAACCCTGAGACCACAGGAGTGCCCCTGGATGCCTCTGGACTTGGTTTTTCTACCTGGAAAATGGATGCAGGAGTCCAAAAGAAGACAACCACCACAAGAACAGTATTCCCTGACAGCCACTTACACAGGGCTCTCACATCTGCGCTCTACCCAGTCACCACAGCATCCCTAAAATGCAGTCTAGGCAGAGCTGCTCCTCTTTTGGTCCAGGAAGGTCAAGCAAGTTGTTCAGGGACACACGGCCAGGAAAGGACAGAACTTCCAGCCCAGAACTCTTTTGTTTGTTCGTTCATCTATTTATTTGAGACAGAGTCTCGCTCTGTTGCCCCGGCTAGACTGCAGTAGCATGATCTCAGCTCACTGCACCCTCCACCTCCCTGGTTCAAGGGATTCTCCCGCCTCAGCCTCCTGAGAAGCTGGTATTACAGGCGCCCACCACCATGCCTGGCTAATTTTTGTATTTTTAGTAGAGATGGGGTTTCACCGTGTTGGCCAGGCTGGTCTCGAACTCCTGACCTCAAGTCATCTGCCTGCCTTGGCCTCCCAAAGTTCTGGGATTACAGGTGTGAACCACTGCGCCTAGCCCCAGCCCAGAACTCTTAAAGCTCCAGTACATGGACAGGGCAGGTCTGAGGCCTCACTGGAGTCATGGGGTTAGATTTCTGAGAAATGAGACAATTTTTCTCTCTGGACTCAACCGCCTCATAAGGCCTCTCCCAGGCCTCTCCCTCAGGGCTGACCAAAGCCTACACTTGGTGTCCTGCCTGCCTGCCCTCACCACCCCATCTTCACTAACACAGCTCGGTGGGCCACCCTGCCTCTGCTGACACCTCTCCCGGGCCCTCCATTACCTTATGGCTCTCCAGAGTCATTGGTAACCTTTTCCGCTTCATAATGGTAGGCGCCCCCAGTCCTTCCTAGTCCCCGAGAATTGGGAGAGGAGCATGCCCCACCCCCACCCTGCTGGCCGGGTCCCGAGGACTAAAGCCCCAGAAGGAACTCACAGGCCAAGGGAAGCAGGGACCAGTTTGGGGGCCTGAGGCTACACAGCCACCCAGCTTTGCAGAGGGTGAATGCGTAGGAAGGAAATGACAGCCCCCTTTACTCCCCACCAGGCGGGCAGGCTTCCTGAGTGCATCAGGGTGGCACCAAAGTTGGAGAGACAAGGAAAGGAGAAGAGAGACTAAGAAAGGATGAGGCGGAGGGAGAGAAAGGAAGGAAAAGGTCGCAGGAGATAGGAAAGATGGGAAATGTAAGGTGGGCTGAAAGCGGGAAGGCCTGAGCCCCGCTCCCCTGGCTCCTGGTTCCCCTCAGCCTGTTGGAGGATCTTTCTGTCCACAGCTGAGTCCCCAGTGTCTTATCGCCATGCAACAACGGAAGCAGCAGGAAATGGCTCAACCCCATGTATTTTTACACATAGCACACCCCAAGCAAGGCTGGGTCAGATCATTCGCCCTTAGTATGTATGGGAGGGGGCAGGGGTGTGGTCAGATATATGTGGGGGAAGGGGTTAAACACAAAGAAAGTGGCCCAGTCTAACATGCACCGGAACTGGAAACAGTCCCTGCCAACAACAGGCATAAGTCACTTGGCTTGATTCTGCCAAGGTGCAAAGTTATTGGGAAACATGATTGAAAACAACAGCCCTGCCAAACTCAGGAGCCGGGGGAGGGCGGCTCCTCTGTGGGCTTCCACTGGGGCTTTTCCAGGTTACACTTCCCCCGGTGATGCTGGGGACAACCACAACCCCGTCCCTAATTTCTCCTGAAGTCAGGACTTCCCTCTTATGTTTGCTTTGGGTCTCCCCTCATTCCCTCTTGCCCTCCCAGCAGGTGCTCATACCTTCAGGACTCTGCTTCTCAGAATTTCTGACCTTTCATACCCACAGTCTCCCTTAAGTGATCTGCTCCAAGGTCAAACTGTCACTGTAGCCTGACTTAAAACCCTACCCTGCAATGAGGCTGCTTCCTCCTGCCTTGTTCCCTGCAGTGACAGCAAAAAGCCCATCTCTCCATTTTCCTGACCTTCAGTGTCCGCGCTGACAAAAGGGGGGTAATCATAGCTACTCTCAGGCCTTTTGTGAGGGCTATACAAGATGATGTCTGGCAAGCACTTGGCATAGTGCGAAGCATACAGAAGGTACTCATTAAATGCTGAGTCTGATTCTGGGCAGCGTAATCCCTTTTTTCCCATGGGAGAAAAAATGCCTGCAATCAAGCTGGCCTAAATTTATTTCAGAGATTATACCAACAAATTTACTCCGTACTGCTAGAACTACATAAAATTAAGGGTTTTTTTTGTTTGTTTTTTGTCTTTTTTTGGGAGACAGGGTCTCACTCTGTCGCCCAGGCTGGAATGCAGTGGCACCATCTCAGCTCTCTGCAACCTCTGCCTCCTGGGTTCAAGCGATTCTCCTGCCTCAGCCTCCCAAGTAGCTGGGATTACAAGCATGAGCCACCACGCCCAGCTATTTTTTATAGAAATGAGGTTTCGCCATGTTGGCCAGGCTGCTCTTGAACTCCTTATCTCAGGGGATCCGCCCGCCTCGGCCTCCCAAAGTGCTGGGATTACAGGCCTGAGTCACCGCGCCTGGCCCCAAATTAAGTTTTATAGGCAACACATGGCCTTTGATGTTACAGAATCTGGCTCTCTTATAAAGCTGCTGTCCTTTCCACAGATGCCCAGCTCTCTATCACTCTCTTCCTGGGAGAAAGAATATCTAGAAAATGGGTTCTGAGTCTGGCTGCATTACTGCCATTTGCTCATCTTTGTAACAGGGAGAGAGTCTGCCCCACCTACTTAGAGGGAGAGTGGGAGGAGCTAATAAGCAATGGATGTGAAATGCTGTGAAAAGTAAAAGTGCTTTAGGACTATACCGGAGTGTAAAATAGCAAAGTCTCCCCCTGCCGTGGCTCCTTCCTGGCAGCTTGGCCCTCTACTCCCTTGATTTGGCATCTTTCTGGCTTACAAATGGAAAACCAGAGTTCAAGCTGGCTGTGAAATCCCCATTAATGAGAGGAGAAGAGACACTCCTGGGAAAAACAGCTGGGGCCTGATGGTGGGTGCAGAGGCCTGGGCTGAAGCCCTGGCTCCCTCGCCCACCCCTCTTCTCTACCCTAGGACCCAGACTTGAGTCTAACAGTGCTGCAGCAGGACACCAGCTCCTTCTGTCCCTCCATGGAGGCCTGGACACCTCCTTAGTGACACGAAGGTCTGCAATGCCTGGATTGAGCGGGTCAGTCTCCAGTCACAGAGCATATCCCCATTTTATTCTCTTCCCTGTGGAGGACTCAGCTCCACTGGCTTCCAGAAAGGTGCATATTTTCCTGGTGGCCTCTGGGCTCTTCTCTTTTTCTCAAATTCTAAATGTTTTGGAAAAGGATAAGGATAACAATTATAGTTGGCCTTCTATATCTGAGAATTCCACATCCATGGATTCAACCAACCATGGATTAAAATAATAATAATACAAATTTTAAAATACAGGGGCCAGGCGCAGTGGCTCACACCTGCCAGCACTTTGGAAGGCCAAGGCGGGCAGATCACCTGAGGTTAGGAGTTCAAGACCAGCCTGGCCAACATGGTAAAACCCTGTCTCTACTAACAATACAAAAATTAGCTGGGTGTGGGATGTGGTGGCGGGCGCCTGTAGTCCCAGCTACTTGGGAGGCTGAGGCAGGAGAATGGCGTGAACCCAGGAGGCGGAGCTTGCAGTGAACCGAGATCGTGCCACTGCACTCCAGCCCGGGCGACAAAGCGAGACTCCATCTCAAAGAAAAAAAAAATTAGCTGGGTGTGGTGGTGTGTTCCGGTTGTTCCAGCTACTCGGGAGGCTGAGGCAGAAGAAGCACTTGAACCTGGGAGGTGGAAGTTGCAGTGAGCCAAGATTGCACCACTGCACTCCAGCCTGGGTGACAGAGACTCTGTCTCAAAAAACAAAAAAAACCAAAAAACAAAAAAACAGTATAACAACTATTTTCTATTTTCATAGTATTTACATTGTACTAGGTATTGTAAGTAATCTAGAGATGACTTAAAGGAAGGATGTGTGTAGGTTCTATGCAAATACTACACCATTTACTGTATGAGACTTAAGCAATCTGGAGTTTTGGTATCTGCAGGGGGTCTTGGAACCAATCTCCTTCAGACACTAACATTTCTTGACATACGTCAGACTTGTCTCTAAGTGTTTACACCTATTAATTCATTTAATCCCAGTATTAACCTCACAAGATGGGTGGCACTATTATTTCCATTTTACAGGAGAGAAAACCAAGGCCTACAGATATAACTTGCCCAGGACTACACAACTAGTAAGTAAAGAACCTAGAATATAAATCCTGTCTGGCTCCAAAACTCAGGCCTAACCTCACCTTGGAGGGCTGGGTAGCTCTGACAGACCCACAGCTTAAGATACCTTTGGCTAGGACAGCTGGCCCTCTGCCACCTTTTCAGGAAGCAAGAGAGTCTAATCAGTGGTTGTCAACCACAGCCCAGCCTCACTCCACAGCAATGAAATTGGAATTTCATACAGCTAAGACTGCAGGCTTTTTTTGTTTTTTGGTGAGACAGAATCACTCTGTTGTCCAGGCTGGAGTGCTGGAGTGCAGTAAGGCAATCACAGTTCACTGCAGCCTTGACCTCCCTAGGCTCAAGTGCTCCTCCCATCTCAGCCTCCCTAGCAGCAAGGACTACAGGTACATGCCACCACACTTGGCTAATTTGTATTATTTTTTTGTAGAGACAGGGTTTTGCCATGTTGTCCAGGCTGGTCTCAAACTTCTGGGCTTAAGCGATCCTCTTGCCTTGGCCTCCTAAATTGCTGGGATTACAGGCCTGAGCCATGCTGCACTTGGCCAGACTGTTGGCTTTTACACCCCGAGAGAGCAAGGAAAAACAAAGGAGTTCTCCCCAGGCTCATCCTGCCTTCTCCACATCTGAGGGCGTGCAAATCCTTAGAAATGTC